TTGAGAGTTTTTTAGCATGAAGGGCTGTTGAATTTTGTTGAATGCCATCTCTGCATCTATTGAGATAATCATGTGGTTTTTGTCTTTGGTTCTGTTTATGTGATGGATTACGTTTATTGATTTGCATATGTTGAACTAGCATTGCATCCCAGGGATGAACCTGACTTGGCCATGGTGGATAAGCTTTTTGATATGCTGCTGGACTCGGTTTTTCAGTATTTTATTGAGGATTTTCACATTGATGTTTATCAGGGATATTGGCCTGAAATTTTCTTTTTTCTGTTGTGTCTCTGCCAGATTTTGGTGTCAGGATGATGTTGGCCTCATAAAATGAGTTAGTGAGGGGTCCCTCTTTTTTTATTGTTTGGAATTGTTTCAGAAGGAATGGTACCAGCTCCCCTTTGTATGTCTGGTAGAATTCAGCTGTGAAACCGTCTGGTCCTGGACTTTTTTTGGTTGGTAGGCTATTTATTGCTGCTTCAGTTTCAGACCTTGTTATTGGTCTATTCAGGGATTTGACTTCTTCCTGGTTTAGTGTTGGGGGTGGGGTGTAAGTATCCAGGAATTTATCCATTTCTTCTGTATTTTCTGGTTTATTTGTGTAGAAGTGTTTATAGTATTCTCTGATGTTAGTTTGTATTTCTGTGAGATTGGTAGGATATCTCCTTTATTGTTTTTTATTGCATCTCTTTGATTCTTCTCTCTTTTCCTCTTTATTAGTTTTGCTAGTGGTCTATTTTGTTGATCATTTCCAAAAACCAGCTCCTGGATTCATTGATTTTTATTTTTGAAGAGTGTTTTGTGTCTCTGTCACCTTCAGTTCTGCTCTGATCTTAGTTATTTCTTGTCTTCTGATAGCTTTTGATTTTGTTTACTCTTGCTTTTCTAGTTCTTTTAATTGTGACATTTGTGTGTCGATTTTAGATCTTTCCTGCTTTTTCTTGTTTGCATTTAGTGCTATAAATTTCCCTCTACACACTGCTGTAAATGTGTCCCAGAGATTGTGGTATGTTGTGTCTTTGTTCCCATTGGTTTCAAAGAACGTCTTTTTTTTTTTTTTTTTCTGCTTTATTTTTTATTCAGTATCCATCAAGGAGCACGTTGTTCTATTTCCATGTAACTGCAGTTTCGAGTGAGTTTCTTAATCCTGAGTTCTAATTTGATTGCACTGTAGTCTAAAAGACTCTTATGATTTCCGTCCTTTTGCATTTGCTGAGGAGTGTTTTACTTCCAATTATATGGTCAATTTTAGAATAAGTGTGATGTGGTGCTGAGAAAAATGTATATTCTGTTGATTTGGGGTGGAGAGTTATGTAGATGTCTATTGTGTCTGCTTGGTCCAGAGCTAAGTTCTAGTCCTGGTTATCTTTAAGTTTCTGTCTCATTGTTCTGTCTGATATTGACAGTGGGGTATTAAAGTCTCCCACTGTTAGTTTGTGGGAGTCTAAGTCTCTTTGCAGGTCTCTAAGAAGTTGCTTTATGAATCTGGGTGGTCCTGTATTGGGTACATATATATTTAGGATAGTTCTTGCTGCATTGATCCCTTTACCATTATGTAATGCCCTTCTTTGTCTCTTTTGATCTTTGTTTAAAGTCTGTTTTATCAGAGACTAGGATTGCAAACCCTGCTTTTTTTTTT